TTTTTTTTTTTTTTTTGACTGTTAAAAAAATTTTTTTCCTTTTGTAGAGCATATTATTCAGCACAACAAGAAGAAGAAGAAAGAAAAAGGAAAAAAGAAAAATAAACAAACCAAAGCCGGATTGTTTTTAAAGTGGGGTAAAGAAAACCCCTTTTTTTCTTTTTTTCTCTTTCTTTCGTTTCTTCTCTCTACCTATTCCCTATTCCCTTACATTTACACTTTAGCCTGAGCTTATTGAACGTTTTCTTGTTCTATTTTTTTTTTTTTTTTTTTTTTTTGTTTTGTTTTGTTCTTGTTTTTATATATTTTTATTTTTCTTCTCCTTATTACTATACCCTGTGCACATTGCTTTCTCTCTTTCTTTTTTTCTCTCCTCAGAGTTCCACACCATACATACATACATACATAGATTCCATATATATATATATTGCTATTACTATTACCCTTCTTTCTTTTCGTTAGTAGGTATGCACGATCAGCGTAAAGTGCGGGAGGAATTGGATGCCCACACGGCCTCTTGTCGTCTCGCAGAAGTCTCACAGTTCGCCGAAGAATATAATCGTTTATTACAACAACGACGTGGAGAGTCGACTGTTCACAAGGCAGAGTTAATGCAGGAAATCTCTGCACTGCTGCATAAGGCCCCTCATGCCTACACCATGTATAATTACAGACGGGAAGTACTCCTGCGTCTCTTGAGTGAAGGGCGGGAGGAACAAGTGGCGATAAGAACAACAACGGAAAAAGAAAAAAAAGAAAAAGAAACGACAATGGAGAAAAAGAAAATAGATTGGCTTAAAGAGGAATTAAAGTTTAGTGCCTCTGTTATTCTTTGCGATCACAAAGGCTACGCCGCGTTTCTACACCGAAAATGGGTGTTTATGCAAATTCGTCAACTTGCCGAAGGTGTTCTCACCTCCACAAGAGAAGATAGTGAGAAGAGAGAAAGTCAATCAAGATGTGGAAAGGAGTATCCAGAGGAAGTTTGTTTCTGGGTCTCTGCACTACTAAAAGAAAAGAAACAATGTGAGAATTTACTGGCTGTAGATGAGCGTAACTTTCATGCGTGGAATTACCGTCGATGGGTACTGGAAGAGTTAAATCAGATGGAGAAAGTACTTCTACGCCATTCGATCATGTTAACAGACATTATGGGAACTATCAATCACACATCAGAGAAGAAGCCTGGAGGTGTTGAACAACCACAAGAAAAAGAAGAAAAACAACAGTCTTCACTATTTACTTCAGATGAACTAAAGGAGTTAAATTTCACCACCGCAATGGTGCGACGGAACTTTTCAAACTATAGTGCATGGCACCAGCGTGGGGTGATATTTAGAACAGCACTTCAGCGTCTTCATAATTTAACCGTCGTTCATGAGAATAAAAACTCTAATAATAATAATAGTGGTAGCAGCACGAGGGAAATGCGTCATAATGATAATGATAATGAAAAAACGAATATTAATCACACAAATAATAGTTCCACAGAGGCGGGAGAGTCCAATTGTGGGTATTGCACTATAATGAAAGAAGCATGGTCGCAGATATCCACAGATCTCTCACTTCTCATCGCCGCTGTATACTGCGATCCACTCGATCAATCAGCGTGGTATTATGCCCAGTTCCTTGAACAGGCCGCCCAATCTCTACAGAAACTTTCTATGTGTTCTTCATATCTATCTACACCGGTGGATGTGACGGGGCAGTTGATAAATGCATGTACGGAACTCATTGCAGAAGAACAGGGGAGTGGTGAAATGGAGTCCTCGTGGCCGCGGCTGTATGTTTTGAATGCATTGATTGCCGCCCATAAGAAGAAAGTAGATAACGGTGATGAGAAGAATAACGATAAGAAGGAAATCACAATGATCAGGATGGTAGATGAGTTGGCTCGCAAAGTATATACGGCATTACATCCAAATGATGTATGGGATGAGAATAATAATAATAATAATAATAATAATAATAATAATAATAATAATAATAATATTGATGATGGGATTTACACTCGTTGTGTGAAGGAGTTGGTGACACAGTTAGTGCAGACAGATCCCCTCCGTGCTGGAATGTACAACAGTCTTCTCGCAGATGCACTCAGCCCGCAGACAAGAGAAGAAGAAGAAAACACGTTGTAAAAGTCAAACGCAAAATAGAGCGCCCATATAGCTGAATAAAGAAGAAAAAAAGAAAAAACAAAGAAGAGATAAGGAAATGCTTTCTTAAAAGAGATGGGATGGATGGATGGATGGATGTGTAAGTAGATGGAGGGAAGAAGGCGGCGATAATATAAAATGTGTGGAGTTTACAGAAAAAAAAAAGGGTGTGATATGGTTTGTGGTAATTACACGTGTCTCTTTTTCTTCCTTCTTCATGGGAGGGAAACAGAGCAGAATGGAGAAAAACTACACTAATAAGAGCGAAAAAGGTTTTATTATAATAAAGTTGAGAAATGACTGTTTCTTTTCTTTCTTTCTTTCTTTCTTTTTCCTTATATGATTCCTATTTCTTCCTCTTGTTCTTGTTTTCTCTCATTTCTAATATCAAGTATTAACAGAAAAACAAAAACAAAAGAAAAAAAAAAAGAGCAAGAGTGAGCGTGAGCGTGAGAGAACTCTGCCAAATATACCGCAGTAAATAAAAAGAGACAGACTTAAAGAAAAAGAAAACAAACAAAACAAACAAACACATTCAATACCATCATGGGTTGCAGGAGCTCAAAGGCAAAGGAGCCACAGGCTCAACCCGCGCAGAAGAAGCCGGAGGCCGCTAAGGCCCCCGCCCCCGCCGCCGCCGCTGCCAACTACACCGCCGCCCAAAAGACATCGCCACAACAACCCGGCGATGTGAAGAAGTTGGAAGTCGCCACGCCAGACGGCCGCGGCCCCCCAACGGCGAGACGAAATGACGCCTCCGAGGTGAGTTCCCGCACGGGCCCACCAAAGAAGGTTGGCGGCCCCGGCGGCGATAATCGAACCCCGAGTCCCTCTGCCTTATCTCAACAACAACAGCAGCAGCAGGATGTGGATGAGGATGGGAATCCGGTGGTGTTGCCAAAGGGAGATTGGGTGCGGACGGAGGGAACACCGTTCTACTACTCCGAGAAGGAGAACTTGTACTTCCACCCGCCTAGCTGCCAGTTCTACGATCCAACAAATGAGATGTGGTATGATCCCGAGAAGGATGAGTGGTACCGCGATGAAGAGGGTGAGGAGGAACAGCAGTAGTAATAGTAGTAGCAGTAGTAATGATAATAGTAATAGCGATAAGGATGGTTCTTGTCATTGTTGGTACTATTGTTATGATTATGGTTATTCTTGTGATGGGGGGGTCCATTTTGGGAGTGGAAAAAAAGACAAAAAAAAAAAAGAAAAAACCCCTGTAATCAAGATGACACATGCAAAGGAGAGAGAAGGGGAAAGAAAAAAAGAAAAAAGGAAGAGAGAGAGTGGGTAAAAAAAAAAAAAAAAAAAAAGGTATGAGAAACAATAAAAGAAAAAGAAAGGAGTGGTAAAATGAGGTTGTGCACAAATCATACGGTTTGAAAAAAACATCTTTGTAGATCCTTTTAGAGCACAAGAGGAACAAAAAGAGGAAAAAAAGAAGGAAAATAGAGAATAACAAGGAAGGAATGTTTACCAAACTACTTGTACATACCTTATAGTGTGTTTGTTTATTTGTTTGTGTTTGTGTGTGTGTGCCTAAAAAAGAAAGAAAGAGAGATTGAGAGATGGAGAGAGAATGAATATGAAGGATGAACATATATCTATCTATATATATATATATTTTTTTTTTTTTTCTCATTCTTATTATTATTTTTCTTTTTGTACGGTTGAATAGTAAATATAAGACGTTCGTACCTTATATGTAAACATTGTTAGAGAGTTTTGGGTATTCAGGTATGTTCTTTTCTCCTTTTTTTTTATTATTTATTTATTTCTCTCTTTCTCTCACTTTCTTTCCCTCTGTTCTCACACATTTACATTCTTCCCATTTTTTCTCTCTTTGTTTATTTCTCTTTTTCTCTCTCTCCCCCTGTGAATGTATGTAATGTGTGTTTGTGTGCCTTCTATTTGTTGATTGATTGTTTGTATGTATCTGTGTGTATATTGATTTGCCCGCCATGTATGAGAAGCACACACCACTGATAGAACTAACACGGAAGAAGAAAAGTAAAAAGAAAGAAAAAAAGAAATAATAATTAAACAAAGTGGAATGCACTAATGCAACTAATTCAAGGAAATTGAAAAAAAGAAAGAAAAAAGAAACTGGATCTGAAAAGAAAAACATAAAAAAAGAAAAGAAAAAAAAAAGAAAGAAATGGATAAATAGATAGTGTCTGTGTGTGTTTGTCGGAACAGAGAAAACAATTCACGCGATATATATATATATATATATATATATATATATATATTTCTCCCTTTGTATTTTCGCGTACGAGATGCCACCTTTGAGTCGTTTGAATGTGGTGTCATTACATTATTAATGGTAATAGCCATAACCATTTATTATTATTACTATTATTATTGTTAATATTATTAATAATATTAATATTGTTTTTATATATATATATATGTATGTATTTGCGTGAATTATAATTTTTTGCTGTTGTTGATTCTGAGAAAAAAAAAGTTCTTTATCAAATGAAAAAGAAGGGAAATGTACCACACGACTTAATTCAGGCAAGTCCCTCATTTCTATTTCTCTTTTTTCTCTATCACTCTATCTCTCTTGATACACCCTAGTCTACGAGAGTAGTATATATATATATATATATATCTTATTTGTTGTTTCTTCCTTGTATGGTTCCTTGTTTTGTTTCATTAGTGTTTTATTCACCACAATATTGTTGATTTTCTTCTTCTTTTTGTTTTTTCTCTCTCTGTATTGGTGTGGGTTGAGCATGTCTGTTTTTTTTTTTTTTTTTTCTGTTTTGTTTGTTTCTTGTTTTTTTTTTTTGTTGTTGTTGCTTCTCTCTCTCCCTCATTGTGTGTGTGTGTGTGAGTGTGATCTGAAGGAGAGAGACACATTGTAGTAGAGCACCACTCATATATATATATATATCTGTGTGTGTGTATTTGAGTGTGTACACTTTATACTCTTTTTTTCTCTCTATTTCTATTTCTATTTCTTTCTCTTTTTTTTTTGTGTGTATATCAATTTCTCCTCCATTATTTGTGTGGATCATTAAAGAAGAAGGAGAAGGGGGAAATGAGGATTGACTCCAGAGAAAAGAAAGGAAATATGTGTAGATAGAGAGAGAATGAAAGAAGAGAGAAGAGAGAGTA